CATTCACCGTGAACTGAGTCTCATCTTTACTGTGACTCAGATGTGATATCTTCATTAATAATATTAGAATTATTTGCTGATAGAGTAGTGGTACAATTTCCACAGTTTCACTGTTCATTAGCTTGTTTTAGTTAGTTTGGCCATCATTCTACTTATGACGTCTTCTTCAGTTTAATTGCACTCTCAGACCCATAGTTCTGGAACTGGATGTTTATTTTCTTAATGTTTTACAATTTTAATGTACTTCACATTCAATTTTAGCATAAATGTAATATGTTAAATGCACCCCAGAATGTGAGGCTTTGTTGCCTGTATGATTAGATCAGCAGAGAGACAATTAGAATCACACAACAAAAATAAAACATTAATGGTAAGAGATCAAACTGCAGCAGCATTTTTTCTTCCTGCTTAATTAATCTCTTTCAGGTCAGTTTACAGTAGAAGCAGTCTCTTACTTTGTGTCTGAGGGTTCAGGCTCTTTACCGACGTCTGGAGGATCTTGAGATCCGTCATTCTTCATAGACAGACAGCTGGATGCTGGAGGCTCTGCTCCGTCCTCCTCTTCATTTAAATCGCTCATCTTCAGTCACTCAGTCTGAGAGTTAAAGCAGCAACACTGACTGTGACACACAACATGACAATCAGGACAGATCTGTTCAAGGGTCACACCCAAGACTTTCAGATCAGGAAGTACAACAAACACAGAATCCAGTTTCTAACAAAGCCGGTCGACACTCCACCGAGTAAATAAATAGATCCGTGTTTTCTTTACAGTCCACAGACAAACAGCTGACTCAGAGACTAACAGGAGAAAAATCATAACGTTGGACCAACACTCACCTCGTTTTCCTCCTCCTGCTCTGTCGACTCTAAAATGGAGTCTGAGCTGATAAAAACCTTTTATTGTTTCCTCTCTGAACTCTGAACCTGGATCAGCTGAGCATAATGAATCAGTTACACCACATGGAATAGATTACTTATAACCTGAGGCCACAGAAAGGAGTAGGGGAAGGACACTGGGAGAAATGGAATCTCCTCTTAGCCCAGTAAAGGATACTGCTGGTGCTCTACGTCAAAACCATCGGTACAGAACAGAAACACATGCATGTGTGAATTCTGATACTGTGTGCATGTATATATATACACGTGTGTATGCATGTATGTATGTTTTTTCTTTATAAGTGTGTTGTGACCTCCTGACCTTGTGTTGTGTGTTCAAGCATGTTTCTGTGAAAAATGAACAAAATAAAAGTACGTATAAAAAAACCCAATCAGGACAAACCAATCTGTTCACAAACAGTCACACAAAGTCTCCTGTGTAACAAAGCAAGTCAAAACTTCTCCTCAGAACTTAACTGATCCTTATTTTCTTCAGAAAGAGAAACAGCCGACTCAGGAGAATAATAATAATATTGGACTAGTGCAGTGTTTCCTCAAGCATTTTTTTCAGCAGCGGGGCAGCCGGCTCTCTGGAGCTGTGGCGGCGTAAACAAATGACACACGACTGCAGATTTTACTTTTACCACCTGTTCATTGAATGGCCCGTTGAAAACGGCTTTTTAAAGGCTGAATGTAAAAACTAAATTTTAAAAAAGCAATAAAATTAACTAAATCAAATAAAAACAATAAATAATAATTTCTTGATGAGGCTGTAGAATCAGTGGCAGAGTTTGCACCCAGGCTCAGAACAATTCATTATTCTGGGTTTTTTTTGGAAGAGCTCTGAGGCTCTGTTGTAGGGAACCTCTCTGAGAGGCTCAGCAGCATCCAAACTGATCCCCTGTAGCCCGGTTCAGAACATTCCTATAGGGACAGAATAAAGTGGCATTATTGATCATTGCTCTTACAACGGAAATACACAGCATGTATTCATTATTTTATTTTTTATTTATTTAACAGAAATATTGACTTGTATATTATGTAAAAAAAATAAGAAAGATAAAAAAGGTTCATTGACACTAGTAGTGTAGTAGTTTACTTCAGTACTCGTGAGTACCGCCCCAGTGTTAGACTCTGCTGTGAAGGTGGAGACGTGGCGGTAAAAAAGAAAGAAAGACATTTGAAGGAGCGGCGGCTAGGATTTAGGAATGGCGGCCCGCCACTTTTCTCTCTTCCTAACTGGCTTCATGGACGTTTATCGGTGACCTACATCAGAGATGATGACATTCACGGGAAGTGTGAGTCCCACTGAATCACAACATAGAACACAGGAGACAGAAACTCAGAGCTGCATGTTGGAGTCTCAGCTCAGAGTTGATGCAGCAGCGCCACCTGCTGTCCAAACCAACTAACTAGCAGCTGGACTCATCTGCTCTGCACCTCTTTCCATCACATAACAGACTTTCTTCATGTTCACGGCTATTTGAGGCTTCTTGTTGCTGTCTGACAGTCTGATAGCAGCCACACACTCATTTTCCTGCATCTACACTCACTGAAGGACCAACAACACACAAAACACACACAGTCAGTACAAACAACCAGCGTTACTGATGTGACTGACAGGTGAACTGTTTACAGCATGAAGCAAACAAACACACTGGATTAAAAACACAACAAGTACACAACAACATTAGCAGGAGTCAACAACTGTGGAGCTGTTGTCAGGAAATATGACCACACTGTGAACTGCCATCATTACTGTACTGAACCTCTCTGAATGTCGTTCACCACTCATGGAAGATGATATGAAAAAGAGCTGAACTGGTGTTTTCTGTTGAAAAGTGGGTCAGGTTATTTACAAGTTGCTCCAACTGCTTGTTTGGATTTAAGAATATGACTATGAGACAGAAACAAGCTTCTGCGTCATTTTATCTGACATGTTTGTGATTATTGACACAAACTGATGCTGTTTACTGCTGCCGACTGTCAAATCAGCAGAAAATGATTACTATTTAATGCTGGGCAGAAAAATCTGCCTTTGACATTATTTTTTGGTGTTCAGCCCTCGATAGCAGCTACCTGAAGCTAATCAGATGATCGAGTTTAGTTGCCTGCGTCAGACTCTTCATTACTAATATTATACTAAATGTATTTTGCCTACTTGTATAGTACTGTTGCCTCACAGCTCAAAGGGCCTGGATTTGAATCTCAGCCTGGAGTCTTTCTGCGTGGAGTTTGCAAGTTCTCCCCGTGCAGCGTGGGTTCTCTGGCTTCCTCCCACAGCCCAAAGACATGCTGAGGTTAATTGGTGATTCTAAATTGTCCGTAGGTGTGAATGTGAGTGTGCTTGGTTGTCTGTCTCTAAGTGTAGCCCTGCGTTGAACTGGAAACCTTTCCAGGTAAACCCTGCCTTCAGCCTGAGTCAGCTGGGATAGACTCCAGCCCCCCATGACCCTACAGAGGATAAAGCAGTGCGCAGAAAATGAATGGATGGATCTAAAGTCCTGCACCTCGATGGAAACAGAACAACCATGAAGCAGGAGAGAGAACTCAGAAATGTGTTCTGTCAGTATGATAAAGGTATAATGCCATAAATCACAAAAAAGAAAAAAACAGAAGGTGAATTTATTTGAGAATTTTACTAATATATACATATAATATGTACATATATTAAACCTTATTTTAAAAGCATATAATGCAGTAAAAGAGACTCGTGATTTGAACCAAACAATTCCAGTCACTGCATTTATAAAAGCTAACATTTAGAAGTCTTTTTTTCCCACCTGATATGTTCATACATTGTTCAAGAAGAGTATTTGTAAAATTGCTTTATAAATTTGGAAATTAATTAATTTTTTCTGTATTTTTTGTGCAAGTTTCTGCAATTTTAAAAATTTTAACAACAGGGGGAGGAATTCTGTAAAATGTCTGCAAATACCATCACTAATTTAACTCTTTCTTTTTCTTTTTTTTCCTTTTAAAATAAATGGCATTACTTTGTAGAAATTAGTTTTCACTTTGCCCCGCTTTATTTATTTATTTGTAAATTCTTGTCAAAAGAGGCAAAAAAAATATCACCCTAGAGAAACTGCAGCCACTACTTACACATCAAAAAACACACATAAAATACAAACATTTGTGCATCAAAATTACCGGACTGCATAATAAACTAATAAAGATAGATTTGGAATAAGAGTAGATATTATTCATCAGATAGATTTACCTCATAAAGTTTAGTTTTGCGTTTAGACTCTGCAGTAGTATCTGTTACACAAATTTATTTAAGATTCCACATATTTATAGCTGACCTGTCCAGGTGAACCTGCCTTCACCCTGAGTCAGCTGGGATAGACTCCAGCCTCCGACGACCCTCATGAGGATTAAGCGGTGTATAGATAATGGATGGATGGATGGATGGATGTTTGTCGCTAATAAAATGTACTTAAACGCAGCACGATGACGTTTCCGCGCAGCCAACCAATCGCTGTCCAGAGGGGGCGGGGTTTAGTAAACTTGCCGACCCTTGCCCCTGCTGGCTGAGGCCACAGAATCTCGTTCATTTAATCAAACCCGCTCACTTCGCGGTTTTATCCTGGAGACGCTGTTTTGCCGTCGCCTGCCGCACTCACCTGCACACATCCGAGCTGCCACCAGACGCTCACCTGAGCAGCAGGCGGCGTCTCTTTACTCTTTACAGCCCCGGTGGCGAAGTTTATCAGCGCAGCGTTGAAAAAAACTGCAACAACATGGCCTCGTGAAGTGGCCATGATGGATGAAATACTGATGGAAACACATTTAAGTCGTTTTAGCTCATCAGTGTAAACGTGGCAACAGACATGCACCAAGAAACACGGGTGGAAATTTAAAAATTGCACATAAACGTTGCTAATTTAACAGGCACACGGCTTGTTTTTTTAGTTTTATTCCGTTGACATATGAGAGAACAAAGGGAAGCTGTCCACATGTCCCCGCTGCAGGGCCCCACTCACATTGGTTAGTGCCGCTACGCAATCTGACCAATCGGACACCACCACACTGGAAAATCCCAACATCGGCGCCTGTGATTGGCCCAACCGTTTGGCGCCTCTTGAATGTGCTGCAGCCGTGGTGGGCGGTGAGAGCGAGACGGTGAGCAGTTTGAACCGCGCCGAGGCGGAAATATTGAAACTGTTTATAGACAACGTGAAATTAAACCGCTCCGTTTACAAACACGGTGTTTCTGTGCCGGAGCCGGGCCTAAAGCGTGGGAACGGTAGCCTTTTCTGACTGTTTTCGGACTCTGCGTGCGTGAAGCCGGCTGTCGCGCAAAGTGAAGCGGCTCCCTCCTCCTGAGCTAACCGCTAACTAGCCACCGAGCTAACGTTCCAGCTAGCCGCTGCTAATCCCCAACACAAAGGACGACTTTGCCGGTGTTTGCCGTATCGATCCCGAATCGCTCCGTTGAATGAGGACGGATCCTCCTAGACAGGTGAGAGAAGCTGTCAAAGCCCCTGCTTGTGTTTATGGCGCTTTTTGTTGCGATTCAAATGGCCCGGGTTTGTTCTTGATGCTTTGTGGGAGCCTCAATCTTTGTTAGCTAGCTCACCGGGGTGTCGTGCCAAATGTTGTATCCCTGTCACAATTGGTTTCCCCCGTGAAAAGACAAACTTTTCTGTTGCGAAGTTCTTAAGAAGTAAACCTCTGTAACAGAGTAGAAACGAATTCTGCTGAAACAACCACCCTGTCCGTGTTTTGGACCCCGTAGAACCGGTTTAGTTGTGCGAGGGCAAGCACATTTTGAGGGGGTACAAACTTGGCAACGACGTCGGCAAGCTATCGTTAGCCTGGTTGTTGTTTGTAGCTAGCTGACCCTGGAAACTGGCTGCCACGCTTCTTATCAGTGTTGTTACACAACTACAACCATCTTCAGCACGATGTTGTGCTTTTTAGCAAGTTTGTTTTTTGTGTATATAAACTGCAAAAGCGATATTTTTTTTTTCAAGCAATGCGATTATTTAACTTTATTTGTCTTGACACAACACATTAACATCAGGATCAACATGCACTGAGCAAAAGTACAATTGCAGCGCGCAAATGGTATTTTAAAATGCTATTTCTGTTGCTGTGGCCAGAAAAGGGTTAACTTCAGCCAGCTGTGCTGAAAAACTTTTGACTTGTTCAACTGGTGACAAATTCTGGAGCGCAGAGCAGACTACATTTCAGTCAGGTGTGGTTTAAAAGGATAATGATCGGACAGTGTGGTGAGTACACAGACACTCCTTTGACCAGTGAGTTTAAGAAAAAGAAGAAGAAGAAGAAAAAAACAGCTGTATCTCAATGACACCGTGCCACAGGTGACAAGAGAAAGTCGACTAACTTGTGGCATGCTGGATGCTGCATGTCTGTCAGGGCTGTCACCAGGCACTCGAATGTCTTCACCATCACTGTTTGTCATCTAAGAAATTGCAGACAGCATCATGTAACAGATGATCTGCCACATGACCATTTGTCAGCACCAGAGCACGGTAGCATCACATTTGGCTCATACATCAGCAACATCATTGGTGCGAACAACCAGAGAAAATCCTCTCAAAGTGTGAGGGATCGTCCAAGGGAAGCTGGTTTGAAATGTCAGAAAGGCTAGAAAGACACACGAAGGTCCTCTGCATTTTATTTTCAGCTTTACATAGCAAGGTGTTGTGATGGGCGTTGCCCAGGGGAACGCTATACTGGTGTAGATGTCATCAGGAAGTGGCTCATTGAGCAGGGATATGTTGTGGACCAAGAACATCTGCGTTTCAGCGATGGCAATCTAAATGACCGGGATGAAACCCCCACAGTTGTGGCTATCTCGCTCATTCGCCACCAGTACTCGACGTTTCAACCAGACGACTCGTGTTCTCATGTAGCCAGAGGCTTTCTTGTCCCTCTAGCAGCTGAAAACGTTCAGTCCTACCTCCTACCATGTCCAGACAGACCAGCATCTGAGTGACACTCTGGATTCCCGACAGCATCCCAAAATGTCTGCCAGTGCCACCAAGCCTCTCAGGAAGAGGAGGACAACGCAGCACAAGCATGTCTGGTCTATTCTCCCACTGTGTTTTCAAAAAATTCTGCACACTCAGTCGTGCATTGGACAAACAAATACTTCTTCGATGTTAAAAGAAATGGATGAAATTTAATAAATGGAGTTACAAGGATACTTTATAAAGTTCTGGCTCACCCTGAAACTGCCATTTTGGGGCATGAGTGGGTACTATAAAGCCTTATATGACTGTCCACAAAAACTCAAATGTTTGAAGCAGTCAAGGAAAGAAGAGGAAAGCTTCAGTGTGGCTCTAGAACGTCTGGATGCGTCTGACCACACAGGTACAGGTGGCAGAAGCAGCCAAATGTGACTTTGAACTGTTCCTTGATAAACTTATTCACCCAACCTGCATCTTCTGACCTCTGTCTATTCCCCAAACTGAAATCCAACTTGTATGGTCACCATTTTCAGAGTGATGAAGAAGTTATGCATGTTGTTGAGGAGAATCTGGAGGCTAAAGATGTGACCTTCTTCACGAAGCTTGAACATCAGTAGATGGAGTGCATTGAAGTTAAAGGAGACTGCATTGAAAAATAATGCAGTAACAAGCTTTCTCCTGTGGTTTTTTATTGAAAAGGCCAGGAACGTTTAGAAATATTTTCATAACAACACATCACAACATGAAAGTGACCCAACTTCCCCAAACCACTTAGCCAAAGAAAGCAGACTGTTGAGGGTTTTTTTTCAGTATGAATATTTCTGTGCAGTATATTTACAGCTCTACGGAGTCAAAGTCTTCAAGGTGGACAGAAGCGAGGATAACAAAAACCAAACTCCACCTAAAGGAAACAAGACACCAAATCAAAATACAGAATATTACCCACCTGAATTAATGCCAGCGTCAAAATAGTATGGTGGTAATTTCAGGCATTTTGACACATCTGAAGTGCAGAGTAAAACTAGAAGCTCTGAGGGCTGCACTACGAAGAGAGATGAGAGGGTCGGCAGGAGTGTTGAGCCTCAAGTCAGAGTTTTCAGTGTCATGAAGGTGTCTCTCTTTTTACCTGCTAGATCTCCATGGTAACTGATGCTGTGGAGCTAGGTCTCCATGGTAACTGATGCTGTGGAGCTAGGTCTCCATGGTAACTGATGCTGTGGCGCTCACCTGGTCCAGAGCAGGTTCTGTTCAGAGTTTCAGATTGAAATCGGCTGTAAGAAGCGTCTCCCTTTAACCAGATCGTTTCCAGACGATTCTGTGTGAGCGATACAGATTCTCAGCTGAGAGAATAAGTTTTATCTGCAAACATGTCGCTCTGTACGTTACTACAACCACCGAATAAAGCCTTGTAGTTACAGTATCACGCGCTGGTTGTATCGCGTTGCCATGGAAACCTGCATGTATTCAGCTGGGGATGCAGAAATCACATAAATATGATTTTACGTTTGGCTCTGATTCGCTGTCAGGTCCGTTTACTCTGCTGGTACTGCAGCTGACCGAACACAGAACAGAAAACAGATTCTTCTGCTGGTATTTATTACAGAGAATATTCAGTCAGTAACTTTAATTTCACTTCAATCTGGCCAAAAACTAAAGTGATTTCCTGCATCGTGGGACAGTGTCAGAACTAAATGCACTTCTATACAAGATCAGGTTTAAATGTAAGAAGTTTAAAGTCAGTCAGAAACAATCAGCGGCATTGATCAGCAGAGAATAAATATATTGACATACAGTCAACAGTTTTCTACCAGCATTCCTGTCGGGCATCATTTGCAGCAGCAGAACTTTTTGCCGTCATACTTTTTTATATTCCTCATTGTTTCACATTAAAACCTGTCGACTGAAGCAGCTGCACACGATCGATTCATTTTGTGCAGAAGATGAATCACATGACGTGTTAAACGGCCACTTTTATGTAAACACGCTCAGAGTCTGAAGCAGAAAGTCTGAGTTAACGAAGAAAGCTGAAAACCACCTCCTGGTCCCTGATGTCTCTGGGTGGGGTTTTGGTTTTTGTGGAGCCGGCTTACACAAAGAAAGCCTGGACGTGTCAAACTTGCTTCGTAGTTCAGCCTTTGCTCTCTGTCTCTCTCTCAGGTAAAAAAAGACCAGCAATATTTAACCACCTGTCTAATTCTAAAACTTATAAGAACAGCATAGTTGACACATGAGCCAGGAAACCATATTAAAGAGGTGTTAGTTCACATTTCAGCCATTTTAAAGATATGTGATGCTGTTGAGTTGTGTTATGCTGTCAGAGGGTTTCCGCTGGGAGTTGACTGATTATTAAACCCAGTGAAACATATTTATAATACTTTTGCCGCTGATGCAGCCGCCTCTTTGTCTAGACCACTCCAGTCCAGTCGGTTTATCACCAGCAGAGTTGCAACTGTTGAATCTATTAGTTGTCAACTAAATCAATTGGCAACTATTTTGATAATTGCTTTGAGTAATTCTTTTAATGAAAAAATAGCTTTTTTCTGTGATTCCAGCCTCTTAAATGTGAAGGTTTTCTTTCCTCCTCTGTGATGATAAACTAAATATTTTTGGGTTTCGGACAAAACAAGACATTTAAGGCCGTTATCGTGAGCTTGAGGAAACAGTGATTGTCTTTTTTTTCTTTTTTTTCTGACATTCTCATCGACCAAACAGCTGATGGGATAAGAGAACAGTCAGTGAAAATAAACACTAGTTGCGGCCCGAATCAATGCTCAAACAGATCCTGTTAATTAAATGTGTAGAACATAAAATAACAAAAATATATCAGTAAAGTTTTGCTTTATTCTCAACTGCGACGCCTCCGCCGTGGTCTAATCAAGGCAGAATAAAACTTGTACAATCAATTAATAAAAACAAATTTAAATATTAAGAAAGACATGAACTTGTAAGATAAATCTCTAATATATGCAAATCCAAATATCACAGCCATCATGAGCTGCTAACACCATTAAACTCATGTACGTCTTGAGGTTTGCTGATAGTTGGGGTCAATATCAGCCCTGAAACAGACATATTTAGCTATTTTCCTAATTTTCCATTCATGGCATTTAGTTATCGATGGGAGTATTTCCTAAACCAGCTCCTGGATGCACCTCATTATCAGATCTTGCTGGCCAAAGCCTTTTAGAGCGACTGTCCACTTTTATGTGCGCATTTGGCCAAAATGCGGCGCTGCACGTCTCCACGACAGCCGCCTGATGTTTCTAATCTGAAGTTTGAGATCTGAGTTGGAGCTCTAACGCACGAATGCTGAAATGTACACGAGGAAGAAAAGACGCAAACGCATGGGTTTCCTGTTCAGAATCGCTCAGTCAAGTGCAGCTCTGGCAGCAGGAGTCAGGAAATCATGTCACCTGCGTCTGAACCGTGATAATAGAGGTGGTTTTCAATAAAGGTTCTGGGCGTTTTTCAAGCCACAGTGGTTCAAGATGTTTGAATCACGACCTGCTGTGAAGGAAAGATAAGAGATAGAATGGAATAAAATAGATAAGCAGATTAAATAATACATCTCCCATGAAAGTATCGACAGGTGAAGGGCAAAAAGGAAGTCCAACATTTATAAAAACAGAATAAGAAAGGAAACAATTAAGTAGTTTATGCATTAAATTGACTAATATATGTAAATATGTGATCAAATGGAGAAGTGAATAAATATAATGAGCTTTAAGCAGAGTTCTATGGAGAAGAGTGTTTGTGCGCTGGAGGTTCTGCATCATACCTGTGGTTTCCAAAATATAGCTGTGTTGTGTAACTGTCAAGCGAATTTGAAGCCAAAAAAGAAAAGGAAAAAAACAATGCACTTAGTTCATCTGCTTTGGAGTGAATAAACCAGGCTGCGTCACACGGCCAGCCACTACTAAATACCTAAAGGAGAAGAAAGCAGCAACGCTTCGGTGTCTAAAAGAGACGAGCGGTGAGAAATCTTCAGGAATTGTTTTTGAACCGGGTAAGTTGTAGCTGATGTTGGTCGTGTGAAGCAAACGGCAAAACTTCATATTTTAAATTCAAAAAAGTGATTTAAGCTGCCCGCTGACCTCCACGAGCGAGTACAAAAACGTCTTTTGTCAAAGTATTTTAACGTTTTTCTAATGTTGCGGCAACACATAACCTCCATGCTTACATCAGAACTACAGCTGAAACCAGAAATTCACATCCACCGTATAAAAAGACAGAAAACCTTTTTTTCTCACTGTCTGACATTATATCAAACTAAACTTTTCCTTTTTGTGAAATGGCGCAGAAGTGGGTGGTAGAAATGTTCTCGAGGTTTATGTCCGGACTGCAAAGTTACACAAAACAACAACAACAACAAAAAAAAAACTCGTCAATACACGAGACGCCGGCCGCGGTTTGTAGCGTTTGTTTGTTTTGAAGAGCTTCAGTTTCACCTCCGTCGTCTTTGTGTTTGGCTGCAGGTTCGTCATGGTGCTGACAGGGAAGCGCTCGGAGAAGGGTCCCGCCTGCTGGAAGAGGAGGGTGAAGTCCGAGTACATGAGGCTCCGGCAGCTGAAGCGCTTCAGACGGGCCGACGAGGTCAAGGTTGGTCCACACTCACACCTTCAGATGGGCGAAGAAGTCGAGTTGACGTCCGGTTTATATTAAAACAGTTTGAGATTTTTTTTTTTAGCTTTAAAGATGAGATAAAAACTTGTCTCAGAAAGAAAGAAATTATTTTGCCACATGTTTGCTTTTAAAAGTAGAGAAGCTGTAAGATATAAACACGAGACCTTACTGAAATATGTCCAGGATAGAAAAGTGAATTATGTTGCACATGAAAAGCTTCTTGAAAAGTTTTTCCCGCTCTTGGTTTGTAGAGCATGTTCAACACCAACCGTCAGAAAATCATGGAGCGAACTGACATTTTGAACCAGGAGTGGAAGACCAGGCGAATCCAGCCCGTCCACATCATGACGTCTGTCAGCTCCTTGAGAGGAACCCGAGAGGTGAGAACATTCGCGCTGTGTTTCGGTACGTTGGGAAACGGTGGAGGAGCTGCTCTGACTGGGCTTTTTCCTCCGCTGCAGTGCACCGTGGACAGCGGCTTCTCCGAGTTCCCCAGGCAGGTCATCCCCCTGAAGACTCTGAACGCCGTGGCCTCGGTCCCCGTCATGTACTCGTGGTCGCCGCTGCAGCAGAACTTCATGGTTTGTTTGAGCGGCTAGCGGCCAAAACTGATCTTTACAGGGTTCATTTAGTTTTGTTGTAGAAGCGAAACGATGGCGCGAGCTGGCTCGTCGCGCGGTAAGTCGGGTTGGTTTCACTCTGTATGTTTTGCTTCAGGTGGAGGATGAGACGGTGCTTCACAACATTCCCTACATGGGAGACGAGATCCTGGACCAGGACGGTACTTTCATAGAAGAGCTCATCAAGAACTACGACGGCAAAGTCCACGGAGACCGAGGTGAGAGTCACTGGATGTACCGATATTCTCTATAAGAACCAAATAGATTTTTGTTGCATCTGTAAATCCTGTTCCTAGGCTGAAAATAGCACAAAATGAGCCCCTAAAGTAAATGTTTGACAGTTTGACCCTAACAACCTACATTCATTTTAAATCAACCTGAAGAGCCAGTTTGGTTATTTTGTGCTAGAACGAAAAGAAAAAACTAAACCAGTTTATTCATTGTTACAAAATGGAGAAAACCTGGAATCCCCATTGACTACATTTTACATTTTACATTGACTACAACAGTTACTGATACTGGGAGGGGGGGAAAGCTGTGAGCACTACCTGCAGTTCAGCCGACAAGTCCCAGAACTTTTGTCTGTTGGGCCGAGCGTTTACCTGCCGCCATGTTAGACTAAATAAAGCTGGTATTCGCAGCAGGTTAAGACAACCTGGTTCTTTTGTACTGAAATAAATGGGATTGTTACGGGAGTATTTATTTCACAAAAATGAAGAAAAACTGGGACCCACATGTGCAGCATTTTTGCAGTTCAGCCCCAAAATCCCCAAATTTTAGCCATGTGAGTTTTGTCAGTAGTGACTTCTCAGGCTGCAGAGTTTTTATTTTTATTTTTTACAGACTTTGTTTACCTGCAGCCTTATTAGACTAATTGAATTCTAAACCAACAGCAGGCTAAGTCATGTGAACCTGGTTATTTTATACTAAAATAAAGATTTTTTTAAATTATTTGAATCAACACATACAACGTTACGAGTTCATCGTCCCCGAATCACTCGTGGCTTCTCAGTATTTTTTAGTTTTAACAGAATCTGCTGACAGTTTATTTGATTTTTTCGCAAATGTTTAAGAGAGACGTGTAGAAATCTCACAATTTTACGCTCAGGTTTAGTTCCAAGCTGCTCACCATTCGCTCCCTTTTTTTTTCCGCCCTCCCTTGCTCTCATACGTCGTCGTGTTTTGCAGAGTGCGGCTTCATCAACGACGAGATCTTCGTGGAGCTGGTCAGCGCTCTGGCACAGTACAGCGACAACGAGGATGACGAGGAGGAGGAAGAGCAGGACTTCAAGGTGGACAAGATGGACATGTGTGACGGCAAGGACCATCCGGAGGACAGCCGCAAGGACGGGCTGGTCAACAGCGACGGTGACGTTGTGGCGGCTTCGTTCTTGTTGCTCAGTCGTGTAGGGCAGCGGTTCTCAAACTTGTTGAGCCACGACCCCCCATAAGTTTGTGTTCGTGAATTTTTAACATCTCATGAGTAATAACTTTGCTGTTTGTGCATTAATGCCTTAAAACTTAATGCGTTAATCCCACAGATTCATCTCTTTGCATTAACACGTTCATTTTCTTTTGAATGAATGAAAAACAAGCTGCAGCTGGTGGTGCTTCGGGCTAAATGCCAGCAGTTAGATGCTAGCGTTTCATTTATTTGGAAGAGGACAGTGCATATTAATGAACACATACAGCGCAGTGACTTTGTGTAAATATGTCAGATTTAGCTTAAAATCATCCGTAGGCCTCGTTAGTAGTAAAATAATACATGCTTTGTTTCATATTAGTCATAACACAATCTTAAAAGGTGCACGAACAAAAGTTAACACCACAATAAATAAAACTTTCGTCTAAAAAACAATTAGACAGATTTAGGTTTCATACGTGCTCACAGGTTTGATTAACCGGATATAAGGTAGAACATTGTCCAACCCCAGCAGGAAGTCTGTCCAGCGTTTACAAGCCCTGACAGACAAAGAGTTCAGGAGGTGGGGGGGACATGGTATTCATAAATGAGAGCTTAAAGCCCTGCTTCAGAGGACACAAGTCTTGGTCAGAATCTAGAATAATTTGGACTGCCGTTTGATTATTTCTGTCTACATGTCTGATTTAGAAGAGAACTTTTCTACGTTCATCTTTAGCGTTGACTGATCGGGTGGCGCTGTGGGTGCGACGCTGACCGGGATCACAGAGTAGTACGTTTATTTATTTGATCCAAAATCGGACGTCAAAAGCGATGCGTGCGTTCGATGCAGAATATCGGCGCTACTCATCGGTCGACTTGGTTTGATGTTGTGAGCGTGTTTGATTTTAGTTCAGAACAAAGTGCTTAAACGTGCTGAACATCAACTCGCACAGATAAACCGACTAGAGACTGTGACACACACCTTCAGCTAAAACCTTGAATATTAAGTCGCTGTTTGCCGCTCAGATGTTAATTTAAATTTCCTTTTTAAAAAACTGAGATTTTGAGTGGATTTAGTTGTTGTCTATTAGCTGCAGGTGTCCACGTTGGAACATGAGATATTTACACACAAAGATTTAAACTTTTAAATACGTACCGTAAATGCTTTTGTTCCGAGCAGCGCCTGTAACACGGCTGGTTAAGAAAATAAAAACTACAGCAGCCTACCAGCAAAAGTCATTGATCGCTATCTTCATCTTCCTCCTGCGCACTAAAACCACTAAAGTCTTCAGTGTCAGAGTTGAACAGCCTCAGAATTCCTTCGACACACACTTCCTTAACGTTGCTTCCGTCTTGAGGCAAATTTGTAAAAAATCCATAAATTAGCCGCATCGTTGTTCAAAGCGTGTGAAAAAAGTAGCCGCTTATAGTCCAGACATTACGGTAATGTTGAAGTGCGGTTAGAGCACATTTGCTCAAACGACGTCCTCGAGCAGGTCTTCTTTTTGCTTTTAGACTAGAAAAAACACCCCAACATTACTGCTGATGTAAGATTAGTTCTGTTATCTGTGAAATCCGTCACCACACACTGATGTTTACGGATTTGGGGCAGCGTGAAAATAAATCGCACACATGAAACTTTTACGAAGAGGTAAGCATGCGATCATTTCCTTCACGACTGAGCAACATTTTGATGCTTTGAGTCTTTTTCCCCCCACAGGCTTTAGTGACACGAGAAAGTAGGGTGTTGTGCACTGATGGAAAGCATGTGTCCGTGTGTGTGTCGTCTCCAGGCCGAAGCAACAACGACGCCAGCAAGAAGTTTCCGTCCGACAAGATTTTCGAAGCCATCTCCTCCATGTTCCCCGACAAGGGCTCCACCGAGGAGCTCAAAGAGAAGTTAGTGGGATTGTTTGTGTGCGAGTGTGTTGATGCGACAGCAGTGGAATTAATTTGTAGGATCACAAAATGCCAAAAAACAAAAACAGAAGAAAGGTTTGCACACTGTTAGGCTCCACAGAAATACAGTCGTGACTCGATAATCCGACACTAAATGGAAAACCTTCCTTTACGACGGATTGTCAAGAGGTCGAGATACAAGGAGGGCTTGATGCTGGAAGGCTCATTTGAAAAATTAGAAATGTGAAGAAGAAGGAGAAGATCACAGCACACTCCTGCCAGATGTTTCCTCTTTATGTTAAACGTGTCTGCTTGAGTAATTAGCGCACTCAATGAAAAGCATTAACGCAGAGTTTTTACAGGCAGCTGAGTGAGATGAATGAAGTCAGCTGAAGCCCCGATGCGTCTGTTTCTGCCAGAGTTTTGTCTCTAAACCCGTGACTTGAGGCAGCTTCTGTTTCGTTTTTGTGTTTCAGGTACAAGGAGTTGACGGAGCAGCAGCTTCCCGGTGCGCTGCCGCCCGAGTGCACGCCGAACATCGACGGCCCGAACGCTCGCTCGGTGCAGCGCGAGCAGAGTCTGCACTCCTTCCACACTCTGTTCTGCAGGCGCTGCTTCAAATACGACTGCTTCCTCCACCGTTAGTGCACACAGACAGTCAAAATCCACTCAAATGAGCCGACTGGAGGCACTTAAGTCTGACGTTTCCAGGTTGTGAACTCAGATGTGACTTAATTCTCATTTGAGGCGACGTTTCGCTTCCACAAGCGACGAACGACAGGCGTGTAGAGTAGTGGTTTTTATCCTGTCCTGTTAAAACACCCGACTGTGTCCAAGACCAACCTTCTGCTGATGGTTTTAGGTTTTCCTGAAGAACGTGGAGGTAATCCTCCTTCTTCGTTATTCCATTTACTTTGTGTACAGCTCCAGTTCCCCAGAGCATGATACTGCCACCTCCATGCTTGATGGTAGGTTTGGTGTTTTGTTTTGTTTTTTAAATAAATAGCATTTGCATGTTGGCGATGACGGTTATCTTCAATCAGGTCTCTTTATGCTTCACGAGACTATTTTTCTGAGTTTTATAAATTCACTAAAATGACACAAACATGCAGTGTTTAGAGGTTGTTTATATTTCTGTGTAATAATTTTGCATAACGAGCATTTTTTGCCTGTTTTAATGTTTGATAAAGGATAATTAGACGTGTTAAAACAAAAACATTTCCTGTAAATATGGCTGAAGCACGTTAGAATCCAAATCCTGCAGAAATCAGAATCAGAAACACGTCACTGGTCGTGTTGCATTTGCTCCTGTTCAAGTCCAACAGTGCAGAATATAAAGATGAACACAAGTAGGAGAGCTTGACCTGAAAATGCAAACACAAGCTATGCCACTTTTGGTCCTTATTTGATCCGATGCCAGTCGGTTCGGTGCCAGCTCTCGGTAAATAAGTCAACAGCGTCAAATAATTTCAGTCTCACCTCTAGCATTTTTGTTTTCCGTCCTTTAGCTTTCCATGCAACTCCAAACACCTATAAGCGCAAGAACCTGGAGAACCTGGTGGACAGTAAACCCTGCGGCATCGACTGCTACATGTACCTGGTGCAGGTGAGTCGAGCTCCTGGAGGAGTCGCTTGATATCGCTGCAGTGATGCTTGTTAACTTCTTGGCTTCTACTGTTTGATGTTAAACAAAATCCCGTCAGGATGAGATCAGGATTTATCGATCCCACAGTGTTACAGCAACAAAGAGCAAAACATTCGTAGAAAATGGAAATAAACAAGAAAATTATACAAGATTCTTTAAAGGTAGGAATTCAGATATTGGAAAATAATTAAATTACACATATTTCTACATTAAAAAATGATGATGTTGCTCAGATTATTCCATGAGTACAAAAAATACTGATTTCACAGAGTTTTCCTTAAATTGGAAATGCTGATATTTTACAGATTTTATTTGTATTTTACAGATTTTATTATGTTTTGCAGATAGTTTCTTTAGTAGAAGCAGAGCATCCTGCTATTGTCCTGGTAGAGTTTATATTTTACAGGTTTTGTCTATAATTCACAGATTCTTCTATAAGTTAAAATTACTACGATTGCATAGATCTTTGTATTTGGTGAAGGTTGTAGTTTTTAAACGTATAAAACCTTCATGACGCTGAGCTTTGAGCTGAAGCTGCTCCACAGTGAAATGTTTGTCCGTGTCTGTTTTGTTGTGTTCAGTGTTCAAACTGTGATCTGATGCGACTGACGTGTGTTGACATCACTGCTGTGTTTGCCCAGGACGGGATGGTGAGGGAGTATCCCGCCGGCGTGGTTGCCGAGCGCGCTAAGACGCCCTCCAAACGCACGGTGGGCCGTCGCCGCGGGCGACTGCCCAACAGCAGCAGCCGGCCCAGCACCCCCACCGTTTCCTCGGAAACCAAAGACACAGACAGCGACCGCGAGGGCAGCAAAGAGGACGAGCGGGACAACGACAAGGACGACGAGGACAAGAAGGACGAGACGACCAGCAGCTCAGGTACAAATCCACCAAACTTCTGTTTAACGCCGCGTCAAGCGGAGTAACGATAACGAAACCGTGATGGTCCGATGTGTGCACAGAGGGCAACTCTCGGTGTCAGACTCCGGTGAAGATGAAGCTGACCGGCGAGGCCGAGGCGGTGGACTGGAGCGGCGCCGAAGCTTCTCTCTTCAGGGTTCTCATCGGGACGTACTACGACAACTACTGCGCCATCGCAAGACTCATCGGCACCAAGACCTGCAGACAGGTGAGGCTTCTAGTCGGGGACCAGAAGGAGACGACGATGGCGTCGGTTTACGTTTTGAGGGTTGTAGTTCTGGTTTACTCCGTTTTTTTTTTAAGCTATTTGTTAAAATCACCGACAACACTGACCCAAAGAAACACATTTATTTAAAACTCACTGAAATGAAAAACAAAGAGGACAGACTGGGACGTATCCAGCTTGTCTGGACTCTTACTTTATTTAAACCTGAATGTTTTTACGCCATTGTTCAACATTTCAGTGTCATAGCAGACAAAGATGAGGCACACAACATTAAATTGCTTCTGTTTTTCTTCTTTTAAAAGTGGACCATGTTTTCACAGATCATTCCTGTCTGGCACCATTAGCAGCAGCAGAACTTTTTACCCTCATAAATGTTTGTGTTCCTCATTGTTCTGCATTAAAACCTGTCGACTGAAGCAGCTGCACTTGATGTTAAACGCCAACTTTAATGTGATCGAACACAGAGTCTGAAGCAGAGCAGAAAGTTGAAAATCTGGTTCCTGGTATCTCTGAGTGGGCTTCTCGTTTTTGTCAACTTACACAAAGAAAGCCTGGACGTGTGGACCTCCGTCGGTCCGGCCTGTAGATGACGGTTGGCCTGATGTGTTCTCTTCACCACAGGTTTACGAGTTCAGGGTGAAGGAGTCGAGCATCATCGCTCGGGCGCCGGCTGAGGACGAGGACACGCCGCCCAGAAAGAAGAAGAGGAAACACAGGCTGTGGGCCACTCACTGCAGGAAGATCCAGCTAAAGAAAGGTCCGAAATCCACCAGAAACGCACCAGAACTGGGCTGACTGCGGTCCGAGTCTAGAGAAGAACCCACTGGTGCTTCTTACACTGTAGAGATTCACGTTGATCCGCCTCCTGACTGAACCGGAATCTGTTTCAGGTTCTTGTTCTGGAGGTTCGGTCCAGATTGTTTGATTTAAAAATTTGGAACTGAAAACAAACAAACAGTGAAAAAGAGGCAGATGTCTGTAAAACTGTGATATTTAAATTATGTCCCGCCCACAGTGCTCCCTGATTGGTCACATGTCACCAGTAGCAGCCAATCAATGCTGAAGGATAAATGTGGAAAAGTTCTGTTGTTTAAAAATGCAAAACAAATGTGTGTGTTAGTTCTGGTCCGATGGATTCAACAATAAACTGACGACCTAAAAGCGAGAGTGCCAGAAAAAATACACAAAACACAGCAATGTTCACAAACGGTTAAAATAAACAGCAAGTAGCCGTCAGAAAGCATATTTTTAGCTGATTTAAATACAATAAAACGGCAAACTTTTTACTTTTGCATATTACTCAAATGTAAATTAATACTTTTTTTTCTGTTTTTATGAGATAATTTGTGTAATTTAACAATTAACCATGTTTTGAAACCATTTTCAGGCCTTAATATATATAATTCTGCTTTCACATAACAGTAATTATATCTAATAATATAAAATGATTATTATTTTACTGATTTAAATACAGTAAAAACTATTTTTTGCTCTTTACTTCCTCCCGCAGATGGCTCATCCAATCACGTCTACAACTACCAGCCATGTGACCACCCGCGGCAGCCGTGCGACTCCTCGTGTCCCTGCGTCACGGCGCAGAACTTCTGCGAGAAGTTCTGCCAGTGCAGCTCCGAGTGTAAGAACGCTGACTTTACATCATCGAGCTCTTTAAAATACAGAAAAGTCAAATCATGCAGTGAAGGTCTCTGTTTACTCATTTAATGGCATGTGGATTAATGGCAGCTAATGGAGATCAAATAGGAAATTCTTGGTGTCAGATATTCCCCAGAAAATGTACAAAACGTGGGAATAAATGCCGACAGCAGTGAGATACCAGCAGGATGTCGTGCTGAGAATAAACAGAAGCAGAGAATTAATGCTGCACATGAACGTTAAATGTTGGAGATAAAACTCTGCACCTTAAATTCACGACTGAAACTGAGACAAATTCAATTAGTGCATTCGAAAGTGAAACACTGCACATTAACGGAAATCTTGCAAATAGGACTTTAAATATTGCACAAAAAATTCAAACATTACACCTGATATTAAAATATTGCACATTTTACCGAAATGTCACATTAAATTGGAATGTTTTGCATTAAATTAAAATATTTGGAATAAAAAGAAAAAGGTCACAACAAATGAGAATATGTTTTTAATTACAATTGAAATATCACTGGCTAAATTTAAATATTAGAAATTAAAATATTGCACAAGAAAGTGAAATATTTTAACTGGCAATAAAATATTTAACACATGAAATTGGAATATTTTACATTAAATTAAAAATATTTGCAATAAAAAGCAAATGTGCCAAATTAAATTTAAATATTTAGAATTAAAATTGAAATATTACTAAATTTAAATATTGCATCTTTTACTGAAATTCAACATGAAACTGGAACATTTCATATTACATTAGCACATTTGCAATATAAAATATGTCCAATTAAATTTAAATATTTTTAATTAAAATTGAAATATTACTAAAATAATTTAAATATTGCAGATTATGCTGAAATTTAAATATTGCACATTTAATCGAAATATTTTACATGAAAATAAAATATTGCACGTTATACTAAAACGTAATTAACTTTTTTAAAGGTAAATATTTTACTTTAATGTAAAATATTTGTGATAAAAAAAGAAATATTCCAAATTTAATTGAAATATTCTTAATTAAAATTTAAATGCTGCACATTATACCAAAAGATAATTTATTTTTTTAAAGATAAATAATTTTACAGTAAATTGAAATATTTGCAATTAAAACTGAAATATTACAAAGTTGAAATATTGCACATATTATATATATTAACTGAAAATAAAATATATTGCACATTTTGCTAAACAGTTTTCAGAAATACATCAAATTAAATTGAAATATGTTTAATTAAAATCAAAATATTACTAAATTTAAATCTTGCACATTATTCTGAAATGAAAATATTTTACATTATTCTTAAATATGATGCATTAAGTTTAGATATTGCACCTAGAATTTTAATATTTCACATGAAAATAAAACTGGTGCCAAACAAGCCACTGAGAAACGTTGCAGACACGTGATGACGCAGCCGATGATGTCGTCGTTTGGACCGAAGCTTCCCAGACGGAACCGCAGCTTCACTAACGGCCGACCCGCTCTCGTGTGCGTCTGCAGGTCAGAACCGTTTTCCAGGTTGCCGGTGCAAAGCCCAGTGCAACACCAAACAGTGTCCCTGCTACCTGGCGGTCCGTGAGTGCGACCCGGACCTCTGCCTGACCTGCGGCGCTGCGGACCACTGGGACAGCAAGAACGTGTCCTGCAAGAACTGCTCCATCCAGAGAGGAGCCAAGAAGGTAACGGACCGGAGCCACGTGGCGCCGCTCCTGACCGACACTCCTCATGATTTAAATACAGTAAACACAAACAACAATACTGTAGAGTCATGACAGAACTAATTACCATTTCTAGTTTTGTATTTATTTAGTTATTTACAGCCAACATGTAAATTAATTCTTTTTCCTTCAATTTAACAAATCAAATGCACATTTTTAGGCCTAAACATACAGACTTTAGCCCAAATAACAGCAAATATCTGTACAATGAGATTTTATTGACAATTTAAATACAGCAAAAAAATTCTTTAATTTTTTACAGTCCCAAAGTTAAAAAAAAAAGAACAAATTCTGTTCTTTTTTTTATTTTTTATAATTTAATAATTTTCCTGTGATTTTACTTGATATTTACTGTAATTTAACAAAACAAATGTACTTTTTTTTTTTAGGCCTTGACATACGTACTTCCCCCCAAATAACAGCAAATATCTGTAAAATTATTTTTTTTAAATTTAAATACAGTATAAAATATTACTCGGGAGAAATTTTTTTGAGGTCTAAATAGTTGTACTTTTACTTCCCGAATAACGGCAAATATCTGTAAAATTTGTAAAAAAAAAAAAAATAATTTTAAAAAAATTTTGGCTAATTTTAAAAGTGAATAAGGAACAAATGACCAATTTTTACAATTACGGATTTTTTTTACCTGAACTTTATTTACAGTTTTGTTTTTTGTTTTTTACAGTGAAAAAAAATGAGGGAAATTATTTACAGTTTTCCTAAATATTCACACTTTTTCCTTCAAATATCTGTCAAATATTTATATTTTTTGCTATTTTTAGTGCAATAAAAAATCATGTAATTGTTACGGTGCTAATGTCAGACAAAAATACCGTTCGACTAGATTCATTTTTTTACATTTTTATTTACAGCCAACATGTAAATCGGTGCTTCTCCCTGTGATTTTAGTGGATATAATATGGAATTATTGATCATTTCTCAGGCCTAAATGCCATTTCCTCCTAGTAAAACTATCTATGAAACAACAATAGCGTTTAATTTAAATCCAGTACAAAGTGCTGTAACATTTACACGCCTAGCAAAATCGATTTTTAACGTTTTTTTTATTACAATCAACTTGTGAATTAATATTTTTCCTGTGATTTTTACTGTAATTTAACAAAACAACATATATTCTTTTGATCGTGTTTCCTCTCAGCACCTGCTGCTGGCGCCGTCCGATGTGGCCGGCTGGGGCATCTTCATCAAAGAGCCGGTCCAGAAGAACGAGTTCATCTCCGAGTACTGTGGAGAGGTGAGAGCGCAGCGCGACAACGGTCACGACGGAGACCCACAACAGGACCAGAGGCATCACTCATGAGTTAATTAACGAGGATGACTGTTGACGACCCGATACCTCGACAGTGTTTGACTTAATGAGCAGTGTTTAGGATGTTTTTGTTTGTTTTACGTCCCTTTGTTCTGGATCTGGTTCTGGTTTGTGGTCGTTTTGTGCGTCTGAGGTCACTGTTTGCATTGAATTGGCATCCAGTTGTGTTTATTGTGCGACTCTTTTTACCTTCTTCTGTCCGTGTGTGTCGGTTTTCGTCTGTTTCTCGTCATTTTGCATCAGTTTGTGTTCATTTTGCATCTTTGTTCGGGTCTGTTTGTGGTCGTCTTGTGTCTCTTTGCAGCCGTTTTGCATGTAGCAGTGGTTTTACGTCTGTTAGCATCAGATTGTGTTCATTGTGTGTCTTTTTACTTGCTTCTGTCTCTCTGTGGTCCATTTTCACATCTTTCTCCTGTTTTTTGTGCGTCTTTGTCACTGTTTTGTGTCTCTTTGTGTTTGTTTTGAGTCATGTTTGTGCCTTTGTGGTCGTTTTGTGTCGCTTTTTTGGCCCTTTTGCATATATTTTTACTAAAATTGTCTTAAAAATCTTTTTTTTTTTTTAAAGTATTGTTTGACCAACTTAGCTGCCGGTTAATTTAATCGTTGTCTACTAATTGTCCAGAACAGACTTGTGACGCTCTGCACCGACTCCAAGCTGCTGTTTCTCAGACTTGTGATGAAAGTTGGGTGCAAAGCAAATGAAATCAGAAACTCTCGTGTTCTGGACACAGTGGGTCCACGAGTCGGGCCCAGACGAGTCAAAGCTGTTGTGCTGCTTGCAGATCATCTCGCAGGACGAAGCCGACCGCAGAGGGAAGGTCTACGACAAGTACATGTGCAGCTTCCTCTTCAACCTCAACAACGGTAAAAACCTTGAAACTCCGCCGCCTCCACGCCCGCGCTTGTTTTCGGTTTCAACGTTTAACGGCATTTGCTTTGCAGACTTTGTGGTGGACGCCACGAGGAAGGGCAACAAGATCCGCTTCGCCAACCACTCCGTCAACCCCAACTGCTATGCAAAAGGTAAGAGGCCAGCGTGCAGACGCCTCGGCGGCTCTGGTTCTGCAGGCGGCCCACTGACCAGCGTTTTGTCTGCAGTGATGATGGTGAACGGCGACCACAGGATAGGGATCTTCGCCAAGAGAGCCATCCAGACCGGAGAGGAGCTCTTCTTCGACTACAGGTCAGTGGGACGGAAACGCAGACGGACCAGAGGGATCCGTTGTTGCTCTGCATTTGGGTCTGTTCTTGGTTTGTGTCCATTTGTGGGTGTTTTGTGTGTCTCTTTGCAGCCATTTTGCATCCAGTAGTGGTCTGAAGAGGTGGTTTTCATTTTTGTTGGCACTGAATTAGCATCTAGTGTTAATTTTGCGTCTCTTTTTTCTCATTTGAGTCCATTTGTTGTCGTTTTGCATCAAGTAGTGGTCCTTTTGTGTGTCTTAGAGCTGGTTTTGTTTCTGTTGGCACTGAGTTAGCATCTCGTTGTGTTTGTTTTGCATCGTTTTTCTTGGTTTGTGTCTGTTTGTGGTCGTTTTGTGTCTTTTGCAGCCGTTTTGCATCCATCAGAGGTGGTTTTATTTGGTAAATTAGCGTCTGTTGTGTTCGTGTTGCGTCTCTTTGATCCATTTGTTCCTCGTTCTTCTCTTTTTTGTGGCTCTTGCTATTTGTTTAGAACAGTTTTGCGTGTCTTTGTGGTTGCATTGGTTTAGTTTTAGCCGGTTTTAATGTAATAGTGTTCCTTTTGTGTATTTTATCTGTTTGCACTGCACTATCTGTTTGCACTGAATTAGCATCTATTTGTGGTCATTTTGGGTCTTTCTTTCTTTTTTTGTAAATTTGGGTCAGGTTGTGGTTGTTTTGTGTTTCTTTTAAGAAGTTTTAATCTCTTTGTGATTCAAAAAAACTTCATTTGTCCCCAGGGGGGCAATTGAAAAGGCAGGAAGTGGTCATTTTGTGCGTCTCTGGGGTCACTTTGCATCTATTTTTTGTGCATTTTGCGTCGTCTTTTTTTCTTGTTTTGCTTCTATTTGTGATGATTCTGCATCTTTTTGCAGCCGTCCTACGTCTAGTCAGCTCTGCTTGCGTTCAGTTGGCATCTATTTGGGTCGTTTTGTGTCTTTCTGGTCCTTTTGTGGCAATTTTTGCATCTTTTCGTCGCTGTTTTGCCTCCTAGTGTTTGCTTCGAGTGTCTTTGCTGCTGAACGCGGGGTGCTGGCGGCTAGTTTGTTCCTGGGAGGCTGCTCATGTAGTTCCAACCATGTCGGCTCAGAAACAAACTGAACCTCGCCGGCGCTTGTGTTCCAGGTACAGCCAGGCTGACGCTCTGAAGTACGTGGGGATCGAGCGGGAGATGGAGATCGCCTGATCCGGACTTCTACCTCCTGCTGACCGACGACACAAAGGCCTTACACACAAACACACCCTCACTTCAGGAAATCCAGACGACTTGTCGAAAACGCTAGAAAGCTTCAGGAAAACTGGGAATATTTGAGTTTTTTGTCGCCTTTTTTTGATACCTTTCATATCTGTTTTTTAATTTTTCTTTCTCCTCTGTCGGGATTCATAAACCTTCCCTTGTGCTGAAGGTGCAGATCACCTACAAACTGACTTCTGTGTGTGTTTTGTTGTTGTTGTTTTTTTTTTTTTTTTAAAGTCTCTCCACGTGAAGTGTTCTGCAGCGAGAGGAGTCAAACCCGTCTGTCGTAAAACCGGCGTCTCACTTCGAAGCTTCAGGGACCAACAATCCTCCACCAGCTGCTCTCAGACGGACCGTTTGCGCTCCTCCTCCGCTGCCGCTCGGTCGTCGCGTTGTGTGTTTTCTACAGTGTGATCTGAACCCGACACACCCTCCTCAGAGTGCCACATCACTGTCTGTCTGTACGACACGAGGGCGTCCACGAGGCAGCGGCGCCACGGCGGCGGCAGCAACAGCCTCCAGCTTCCAGCGCCTTGATCTGGATTTAATCTGGATTAAACACACAAAAGAAAAGTGCATCTTCTGGGTTTTACTCAAATGCTTCGTTCATGTAAATCTTATAAATACGTCCAGAACCGTGTGCTGCTGTTAGTCATCACGTCAGCGGCTTCATTCACCAGCAGCCGTTTTAGTCATTTCATTCATATTTTCTGGTTTCTTTTTAGTTTTTATCCCCAAAAAGCTCAACATTGTGGACAAAACGTTTGACATTTTTCTTATATTTTAAAGACCAGACGACTAATTAACAACTGAAAACGATCATCTGCGGCTCTGATGTAGGGAGGAGACGGCGGTTTTTGGATTATTTCATATGTACGTAGACTTTCTGAATATCACGTCTTTTGGCTTTTTTGGATCCGATTCATCAGTTTTAAAGGAAAAAAAGTCTGAATTCTCGGATTCTGGCTTCTTAAATGTGAATATTTTCTGGTTTCTTTTCATTTTTATCCCAGAAAACTGAATATTTTTGGTTTGTGGACAAAACATTTGACCTTTTTTTTTGTTGTTTGTTTGTTTTTTAAACCAAAGAACTAATCGGCGGCATTTCGCAGCTCTGACGTCCAACAACGATGAAAACAAAACACCTTTTATCAGTCAGCTGTGAAATTAACCAGCAGCTGCTTTGAACCGCTCAAACGCTTCGTCTTTCTTTTCTGTTTTGCGTTTTTTCAGCTAAAATTGTTTAAAATAAATTGTAAAAGATAAAAAGACCTTTCTCACACTACAATCGTGACTCGTATCGAATTATGGGTCAAAATCTTGGACAAATCCGGCTGCAGTTTGGGACAAATGAAAAAAAAAGCTCAATATCGGGAGTTTAAACTTTGCTTCACGACACAAACCAAGACACCTGAACGCATCACGCTGGGATTCACTGACAGAGAACAGAAAACACACCAAATGTTTGATTGATGAAATATCAGAAAACTTCTGGTTTAGTTTGACAGAAAATCAAACGCCTGGTTTTCACAGAAACAAACAAACGCAGTCGCCTTTACCTTCAGTCTAACTTCTGCTTTTGTGTCCGAACTGTAAGAAGACGGACGTTTATTTACGGTTCTGAAACGAGATGAGCAGGGTTTTGTTAAAGCAGGAGAAGTTTGTGTTTTTAATGTGAAAATGTTCACATTTTGGCTCCAGAAAACTGATTTTCAGCCTCGTTTTTGCTCAAGATTGCAGCTGTTTTTAGTGAAATTTCAGTTTTTTCATCTTCTAGATGTTCACTTTCGGCTCTGAAAAGAAAAAAGACGCATCAGGTTCATGTTAAAACGAGATTATTTTTCAAGATTTATCAAAACAACGTCTGTCGTGTTGAAAGTCTTTGAGAATCCTCATCAAATTCACCATGAAGTTGAACCTGAGCTTTAAATTTTCCACCTTATAACTGTAAGCTCTGGTGTTGTAATGTGAAAAGAGTCACGTTTAAACGAGATGAACAGGGTTTTGTTCAAACCTGGTCAGTTTGTGTGTTTTTAATGTGAAAGTATCTCGTTAGAACGGGAACATTTTCACATTTTGGCTCCAGAAAACTGATTTTCAGCCTCGTTTTTGCTCAAACTTGCAGCTATTTGCAGTGAAATGACATCTTCTAGACGCTTCATGTGAACATGCGTCGTTAGAACCTGAAACCTTCCACGCTGTCTATGTGAAGCCGATGCCTTTGGGCTCCTCGTTTTTGGCTCAAAGTCTCTCTTTCTTCCGTCAGAGCTGCAGACGTTCACTCACTTCTTTGTCATTTAATCCTGAGAAAACCAGAAAACGAATCACCAGCCACCTTCCCGCCCGGCTGCTGCTGCTGCTGCTGCTGCTGTTGCCGCCGTGGTGGCTGCTTCGTGCCTCTGCTTCAGGTGCTAAAACGTGAACAAACACAAACTAAAACAAACCACCAGCACAAACTCTGGGATCCTCTGGACAGACGAAGGCTTCCCTTCATGCTCCCCTCATGATTCGCCCTCTCTGCCGTCGCTGGGCCAAAGTTTTCCCAGAATCCCTCAGAAGCAGCTTCATTTTTTAAAATCGACTGTCGGAGCCGCAGTTTGTAGTTTTTGTCGAATTTGTGAGGAAACTTTAAAAGATTTTTGATTTGTCAGAATTCACGTCCGACCCCAGAACCGAGCTGAACTCATTCATCGGTCTTTGAATTTAGGCGTTCGTCTCTGAATCGCCCCTTAGCTGATAAGTAAAGTCATCTGAGTCGAATAGAAGTCTAAATTCTCTGATTCCAGCTGCTTAAAGTTCAACGTTTTCTGCTTTGTTTCCATCGTTTTTCCAGAAAACTGCTTAATTAACAATGAACTAAAAGAAAAAAGTCTAAGTTCTAAAGGTTTTCTGCCGTCGTTTGTCCTCTGTGACGGTAAACTGAACAAAACATAATCTTTTTTTTTTTTAGTGTTTTCTAACAACTGAGAAAATCAGTGGATCGTTGCAGCTCCACAGCCGGTTCCCTTGTGAATAGATCATATATATATATTAAATTCCAGCTTCCTAAAGTTAAATATTTTCTGTTTTTTCCTGCTTTCATGACAGAAAACTGAATATTTATGGACAAATCTAGACACGATTGATGGTTTATTTTATTTTTTTTTTTACTATTTTCTGACATTTTTTAGCCAAATTAAAACTTAAAATCAAGGAGCTGCCAAACGTTAAATGAACCTATTTTGAGGATTTTTTTTGTTGTCTTTAGACCTGCAGCTGTAAAGCCACGGCTTCATCGTAACCAGTTTAAATCAGGTTAGACTCGGTGTGTCGGTGTCATCGGCTGGTTGACTGGAGCCACGTCTTTCTCCTCCTTGGCTGGAGGCCGAAGCGCCGCCCTGCTGCTCGGCTGATGATCGGAGGAAAGCGGCTGCGAGGGTTTGAGGGGAAACTTTGGCTCGGCGACGGCTCTGGTGTTTGTTGAACCTCTGCTGTGCCTTCAGTCCTGAACAGAGCAGAACCTCCTCGCTGTCGCCTCCAGGAGCTCCTCTGTTGTGTTTAGAAAACCTCCCGCATGACGATGATGAAGCTCGGCTCACTGCGCTGCCTCCTCTTCCTCCTTCTCCTCTTCCTCCTGCTCTTCTTCTTCCTCCTCCACCTCCTCCTCTTCTCCTTTCTCCTCATCTTCCTTCTCTTCCTCCTCCTCTTCTTCCTACTCCTCCTTTCCTCCTCTTCTTCCTCCTCCTCCTCCTCCTCTTCTTAGTCTTCCTCCTCTTCCTCTTCTTCTTCCTCCTCATCTTCTTCTTCCTCCTTCTTCTTCTTCCTTGTCCTTCCTCCTCCCCCTCTTCTTCCTCCTCTTCCTCTTCTTCTTCCTCCTCGTCGTGACGTCCAATCAGTGAGGCCGACTCCAGAGCATTCCTCCTCCTGACAACAATCACTTTGTTCGATCCTGGTGCTCGTAAAGGCTCAAAGTCTGACTCGCTTTAAGCAATACCTGCGTGTCCTCCTCCACCTGGACGCTGATGGACCTTCAGGTGCTTCGCTCTGCGGCGTTCCTTCGACCTGAAGGAACCTTCAGAGTTCTTCTCACGGAGGGTCGAAGCAGCTTCTCGTTCCTCTGAGCTGCTGCAGGTTGTGGATCTGAAACTGTGGAGGACCGAGGAACAAAAAACAAAAACCTTCAAATGTGCTTCAAGAACTCTAAAACAAAAAAAAAAAACAAGATGAGACTGAAGATGTTACCTGGTCCTCCTTCAACCCAAACTGCAGCTTATTTAAGGTTCCACATGTCTGAATGCTCTTCTTCTTCTACTTCCTGTTTCTTCTTGTATTTTTCTTCTTCTTCTAATTTTCTTGTCCTCCCCCTCCTGTTTTTTCTTCTCTTTCTTTTACTCCTCCTTCATGTCCTCGTCCTTCCTGTCCGACCAGGTCCACTCTTTCCTCCTCCGACGACACAGGTGCTGTTTTTTGTAATGTTTACAGGGATTTTGTTGTTTCACAGTGATGCAGATTAAACTATTCTAAATGGTGGAACGTCTTGTGGGTACAGTTTATTCTCATCGTCGACTTCCGACACTGATCGAGATATTTCTGACGTTTCTGCTTCATTTATCAAATATTTTCTGAAATAATGAGTCTTTAACCTGTTCAGCTCTGAGCTAGTTTTCAGGCCTCTGCTCGAAACACACACGCCCTTAATAACGAGTTTATCTGCAACCACAAGGTCTAGTTGAATTATTGTGTCACAATAAAAGGAACAGAGATGTTACTGGTTCAGAGTAAATGAAGATGGCTCACATTCTGGCTCACTGAATGTTCTGATGTACTAACTATAGATTTCACTTGTGTATCACTGATGGGGTTCAACACATCCACACACAGCAGTTTGTCAGTTTTCTGAACATGCAACCAGACCGCTGCCTGTGTTCCACGTCCTGCTGTAATGCTGATCAGACTGCTGTGAAGCTCATAGATACGTATAATGAAGGCCAGATGTCTTAAGGCGGCGTTTCAAACCGGATCACCGGCGGCCATCTTGATTCAGGGCAGCTCTCTGGCGGAACCTGTGGTACGTGAAGGAAGGTGAGTGATC